GGGTTAACTTTACGCGAAATTCCTTAGTGCGCGCGCGACTCGTCCGCCGAGTTTGCCTTTTGCCGCGCGACGTGCCTCCTGGGGGGTACCCGACGTACAATATGAAAACACAAAAATGAATGCGTATACTTCAATAGTATCCAACTACTATACCAAATGATAAGTGAGATTATTAAGCAATGGGTTTTTGTGTGAGTATGAGATCGAAACATGAAGAAGTTAATAGCAAGTGAATGGAAAGTACTGTAGTCAGTAAAGCAAGTAGAGAGATGCAAAGAAAAAAAAAGGTTCATGATAACAATGTCAACAACTGTGATTTTAGAAAATTGCCAATTCGCCCGTAGGTAGCGCGGAAACCGCATCGTCCAGGGTCGAGACCGCCATCAACGTCACCAATGAGGCCAATGAAGATGTGATATGCCATAGGTCGTGATAATCATAAAACGATAGAAGGCTACAGGGACGGTTCTTAGCGCGGCTTTGAGCAGGAGTTAACTGAAGAGAAAATTCATTTTGTTAATGACATACCTTTCACTAAGCCTGTTCCAATAAGTGGGACTGTTCCAATAAGTGATGCGGTCATTCACGCCGCTTGCAGTAATTCCAGTTTATAGAAGGGAAGGAAACGCCGGGGTTGCGTTAATACCGCTTACATTTACAACCACGCCGAAGCTTGCTTCCCTGTAAAAACTGGGAATGCTGTTGACGACCACATCTCCCTCCCGCTCTTATTGGAAGAGACTTCTTTTGTTGTTTGTAGGGACCGACTACCAATTTCTTTCATTCTCAATCTGCTAAGGTCAGTAGGAATTCCATGGAAGCCACGTAGAAAAAGAAGATACTATGAAAGCATACCGCCCAGTCCGTCTCCTCAATGAGAAAGAAATAGAGTGCAAAGATCCATAAAACGGCAGCAGCTGCAGAACTTATACGACTAAACTTGCACGAATGCTCTCCGGACTGCCACTAAAATTCCATTCAATGAAACTACAATTAGGGTTAAAAGAACAACATTGTCTAACAACAGTATCTCAGTTGGAAATCGTGATCAATTCCGAATTAATACAGCACAAGCCCGCTGAATAGTTGGTTAACCTTTAAAAAAGGAATTAGTCAACTCTGACCCTCAATGGTACAATGGTGAGACAGCTCGGTTGTACTAGATATATGTACCAATAGATGTCTCACAGTTTGCGCACAATTCTGCTCTCCCCTACCTCGTGCTCAATATGAGTACTGGTTTCAAAAGGCTGAAGTTTGGCAGAGCCCTAAAAGGGCTTAGAATTTGATGAATTGGCCCTCACCACCAAAAGCGATCGAAGACGTCAAGAAGGGGAAACGCTTACCTTCATGAAGACATAGTAGAGAAAACAAAACTGAGGAAGGGAAAGTTGACGGTGAGCTTATGCTTTCATCCCTTACCCTCATGCTTCATTTGAATTTATAGTTGTATTTTCATTCTGACATGCAGAGGGAGCCATGTGTCAAGGAGATTTCAGTCACTGCAGCTCCTTATCCCATGGAAATGACCCATTCTCCCCACCCCTCCCCCTCCTCGATGATTCCCTAAGACTTCTTATTCCAGCTCTTTATGAAAGATGAGGTAGTGTCGTTGCACCCGGTTCTCCGTTGATATGTGTTCAAAGCGAAAGAGTTTCCGATAGAGCGAAGATCAAAGAAGGGGATAATTACATAGGGCGACAGGCGGCCTCCTCATGTTGCTGACCGACGCGCAGTTTGCAGCGAAGATTTGACCTTAGAACGATCTAGCATGGCTCACTATTGGCGCGGTTGGTGGGGCACGCCCACCGACTATCTAATCACTCGCCAGGTCTATACGTGGTGAGTGATTAGATAGTGGAGAGAGCGTAGTGTTGAAGAGGGCACAGCGATGAAAGTCGCATCAATGCGCAAATGAACGGGCATGGAACTCGGGTTAGGGGCCTTTTCAAATGGTTTCTTATTCATCCTGTTCCACTGACCACCTCTACCATTATTTCCAACGTGCTAATTTTTCATAGTAAATTCTGCCTTTAGGCCGACTCCGCCGAAACATCAAAAGTGCATCGTATGTAAGTGAAAAAAGCAAATTTCCATCCAATATGCTTTTTCTCAATCCTTTATCCCCCAATATGTTTAAAGGAATCCTTCCCGGAAAATCATGATTCTATCTCGTTCATAAATATTTTTTTGTTGTGTTTTTCTCGCTTTCCTGAATGAATCGTGGCTCCATAAGCGAAGAAAAGAACAAAAAATTCTGGTTTCGTTGAAAATTCGACCGGAAGTTGACGGCGAACGCGTTCATGTTCCCGCCGGACATCTGTCACAAATGCTGGCGACGGGAACTTCCACTTGGTTCTCGGAGTGCCGTCACTAGAAACTCTCTCCTTTTGACTTATTGCATTAACATCTCACACTTCTACTGCATCCTATTCTATCGATCGATTTGTCTCTACTCTCCAAAATCGCACGCTTTACTCGATTCTTCATGCGGAGAAGACGAGCTTATTGTGGTACCGACAGGATGCCCGTCGCGCGGCAGCAAGGCAGAGTCAGCGGACGAGTTGCAGCGCGTACTGTTATGTTTCGCGCCAAGCTAAACAGAATGTACCACTATATGTTCTACACGCACATTACGCTGCAACTCGTCCTCTGATAGTGCCTTGCTGCTGCCGCATGACGGGCCTCCTGTCGGGTACTCGATTTCGTGATTTCGTTCCTCTTTAGAAACCGAATCTTCGGGGCGTAAAACATTGGTATGTTGTCTTAGTGATACAGTTGACATATTATGTTGGAAGGGCAAGCCAAGAATCTTCCGGGAAGGATTTCTTTGGTACGATCTCCTCCCACTTATTCCCATAGCATACATGTACGGTCGAGCAATCGCCGACCGTGGCTCACGCAATCACCCTTTATCATCACCTCTATTTGCAGTTCGGTCATGGGGTGTACAATAATTATATGGTCTAGAAATATGCATGGGTCTCTCGCTTCTATGTGAAGCTTTTGCAAGTTCGATCTATCACCTTTGCCCCAACTCCATCACCTATAATCTGGGTAAGTTCTGTAGTACTCTTTGCTTACCTTTATTGTGATCTAGTAATGAATGTGCACAATCCACATGTATTAGAAGTTTGCCAAGTATAAGGTCGTTTTTTGGCATCAAATTAACTATGTTGAACAGCAGCACTTCTGAACGAAGATGGATATCACCTCTTGCATCAGGCTTCGCAATTCTGCACGCAAAGGTTCGACGTTTTCTCAAAGGGTATGAGCAGCTGTGTGCTGGCGAAGTTGGACTCCCAGAGCAGGGTGAAATCGGTCGAGGAACTCCTCGACAGGGGGGTCGCATTTGTCAAGGCGGTTTATTGGGGGTCGTACTCATGGGGGTCAGTAACATCGGTGGCATCGTGGTGCAGATAGGAGGGATAGTGGATGTGTAGCGCAGCACAACATCAATTTAATATGTCGGGAAAACATGATAAATATTCTCTGCAGGTTCGAGTCGCGCGCGCTCTTCTACCTCCGAGAAGAAGCCTATTCGAAAGTATACAAAGAATGAAAGTGCATCTCTGCAAGGAACAGGGTCACATGTGCACACGCGCTGCGAAAGCATTTCCTCTATCTGCCGCCCGTTCCCATCCCCTCAAGACCTCGTTGAGAATGACACTGTTGTTAGGGACGCTGTCGCAAAAACGACAGGAAAGTTCCTGGGCAAATGAAGTTGTTCTCAAGATTATAGGAGTACGAAATGTGTTTGCTACAATGCAGCTTTCGTCAACTGGTCATGGTCATAATACACCTTCCAATCGATTTTGCAACTTCGTGCGCATGAGCCTATACCCAGACAAAATCGGATGGTTGGTTACGATTGCCCCTTTTGTTATTGCTTATGTTGGAAGAATGTATTCTAGACACATTTCGAGCGTTGCCAACGAATTACACTTGCAATGGTGAAGAAGGGAGCGGCTTTTTGAGCGGCCGAGAATCATCCTCGATAGATCCTCGACGCAAATATCTCCTCAACTAAAGAATGTAGAAGGAAGCTAAACATACTGCTAGAAGCGCAACCTCCGCTTTCCAACTGTTTTCATTTTTTTTTTCAAGGTCCTACAAAATTAGAGAGATATTGCCTTTTAAGTGGCAAAAACTCGCATGAAAAATTCGGGATCCTCGACGCTGCATCGACAAAATTTGAGAGACCCTATCTCCTCGAGTGTAAAGATTTTAGATCAATTTCAATATTGCCCGGTAGTAGCAAATCCAGCTCTATCCAACCCTACCCATATTGCTTCCAAAGGTTGTGAAATGGGTTAATGGAACCTTCTTCATCGAGAGTGTAGATTTCGTTGGTTTTGAGCGGGGTTTCGGCAAATCTGATTTGCCGAAAAACTGAAAACTGAATACTTTGCGGTACATTAATGGAACTCGCTCATTCACATCAAATCAAAGTTAGAGGGGTTGTATCAAGACCCCTATGTGAGGGGGGGGGGTTGTACTGAGGTGACCACGTCCTCGACAGGATCTTCACCAGAGCGCGAATTTTTCGTCAAGTTCTTGTGAAGGAGATGCGTACACACAAAAGCGGTGCTTTGAATAGTGATGGATCTTTCACAATCATGATCGCCACTAGAATAGTAACTCAGTGCTGATTCTACTAAGTCTCACTAGCAGTTGATGCCAATATTTAGTAGTAACCCTGCACGTGTGCCCATATGCGGACATGATGGCAGGTTAACAAGGGAGGTCTTCAGGGCAAGGTGCGCTTTTTGGAAACGGTTTAGTACATGTTGTAGGGACGCATGTATGGACCACAAAACCATGTTTCGTTTTCGCTGAACGGTTTTAGTAGTACCAAAAAAGTGGTGAATAATACTCTTGATGGTTCAATCCCCCGCGGCGACTAAATTTTGCAATCAAGGTTGGCGGCCACTTGTTGGCTTCAAAATGGTCCTGACGATGAATTTGACATCTGATTTTGATATTTAGCGCGATTTGGCACCAAACCGTAGGCGCCAACCCAAATGCAAAATTTAGTCGCCACGGGGATCGAACCCTTAACAGTACCTTATGCTTCTTTTTTGGTACTGCTATAACCGTTCAGCGAAAATGAAACATGGTTTTGCGTTCCCTACATGCGTCCCTACAATATGCACAAAACCGTTTTGAAAAGCGCACCTTGCCCTGAAAGACCTCCCTTGTAAGAAACAACTAACTATGGCTAATGGAACTGCGGAACTCGCAGAACTCGTACTACCAATGTTTTGCGATAACACGATTGTGATAATTGTAGAATTTGAGGATATGCTAATTATGAATAGTCTTCGATGCTGTTTTATGTCTCTTTTGAAGTTGCCCTAGGAAACCTCTGGAACCAAACTTTTGGTGGTTTTATGGCTGTGAGGGTCGCGACAGTAATAGCCGGCAAACACCGACGGGAGAAAAATAGATTTTTTCAGACACACCTTTCATAGAGGTTCTCTGTGTGTTAGTCATGTCTAAAACTGTATGGCAATCGACGTGGAACAATCAAGGCTCGAACTGCTAATATGGGTGCCCAGTATTGGGGTAGTGTGGACAGCATTATCACGGTGAAAATCTTACCGCTTTTGCATACTTGTATTCATTCATTGTTGCGAGCTGCCTCTTCCAGATGTTCGCCCAGAGATCTCTAACACGATTCTTGGTTATCATTTGTCTGCCTTTTCTTGTATTGCTAGGTGTGGGGAAGGTTTTTAAACCAAGGCTGTCTGTAGGTGAGTTAGTTCTTCGCTTCTTTGTAGGCAATCGTAATTTGTAGTGTGATGTCAGCAAATTGTTTTTCAAGGGCTCACAAGAACCCTCAAGGAGGGCTGCGGGCAGCCGCTGATCGTCTCGGTAGGCGCTATGGTGATCAACATTTTGTTGGCGGCCACTTTCATATTGCCAGCTGATCGAATTCAACCTAATCAAATTGTAACAGTGATTTGTCTGGCTAACACCACCCTTTA